ATCATTTATATATTCAGAGAGGTAAGGGAAGAAATTGCCGCCATGAAACCAGAACTGGATGCCAAGAAGAAAAGGAATATTCTACAAAGCTTTTGGAAATTGAAAACATGATGGCAGAAACGAAAACTTTTATAGTAGAGTCAGAAGGCAGAAATGAAATTTCTTAGAAACTAGAGCCAAAAAAAAAAAGGGAGATACAAAAATAAGAAAGTTGGAGAGCCAGTCCAGGAGGCCCAGTATTCAAATAAATAGAGGATAGAGAAAATGGAGGAGAGAAGGCAGCAACAAAGTCACTGAAGCATTTTTCTCAGGACGCCTGGACATAAATGTACAGTGTGAAAGCACCCATTGAATTTCCAGCACCGTTGATCGACATATACCCACAGTAAGGCACTATCATTTCTGGACACTGAGGGAGGAATTAACATGAAGAAAAAAAAATTCAAACTCAACATAAAATTTGAACATCAGACTTCTTTTTTTTTTAATTTATTTTTTAAGTTTAAGTTTATTTATTTTGAGAGAGAAAAGGCTAAAACTGGAGGAAGGGGGAGAGAGAGAGAGAGAGAGAGAGGAGAGAATCCCAAACAGGTTCCTCATTGTCAACACAGAGTCCAATGTAGGGCTTGAAGCTACAAACTGAGATCATGGCCTGAGCTGAAATCAAGAGTCAGATGCTTAACTGACTGAGTCACCCAGGGGCCCCTGGAACATCAGACTTGTAAACAGCAACACAGGAAGCTGAAAGTCAAGCATGAATTCTGAGAGAAAATTACAACCAGAATTTTTTTTCCCAGTCATACTTCAAGTAGTCATTTAAAAAATTTTTTTTTGTTTTATTTATTTTTGAGAGAGAGACAGAACATGAATAGGGGAGAGGCAGAGAAAGGGAAGCACAGAATCTGAAACAGGCTCCAGGCTCTGAGCTGTCAGCACAGAACCCGATGTGGGGCTCAAACCCACAAGCGTGAGATCATGACCTGAGCTGAAGTCGAATGCTTAACCAACTGAACCACCCAGGCGCCCCTCAAGTAGTCATTTTTTAAATATCACAGTTATTGAAAATTATTTCCTAGGAAGCTACTAGAAGATGTGCTTCACCAAAATGGACTAAGCCAAGAAAACAGATTATGGCAACGGAGATGCCCAGAATGATTGTCAAGTGAGGGTGTAGGGGTAGAGGTTTTGAGTCCCGATGTGAGATGAGAAGGTTCTAAAACTTTTTCCAGAAAGATGAAATGGATAGACTGCACGATATGTCTTTAGCTTCTGGGGAGTCAGACAATTGGGAAGTACTTTTGGATTGAGTGCAGAGAAAACTAAGATGAAAAAAAAAACAATTATTTACTCCCGAGAAAAAAATTATGCAGAAAAAATTAACGTTACATTAATGCACATAATTCAGCTCTGAATAATATTTGCATTCTCACAATAATAGAAATAATAGAAGATGATCCAGCCAAAATTACTATATAATCATATTAGAAGGATGGAGTGAGGGAAGGGTGTATATGCACATGGGTGATGTGTGGGGGGGGGGTGTTGGATATCTAACAGGAGGAAAGAACACCCTATCTTCTTTCTCTGTGGGGGAAGTCAAAAGACAGTACTCAAAATCAAAAAGGAGTAAGGCCATCACACTCCAGCTCTGTGGTGTTAATATAATAATTGACTAAAAGAGTTGAGGAAGTTGGTGGCATAAGAGACAGGAGACTGATAGTTTTCATAAGAAACCTTTTAGAACTCTTTATGTGAATGTGTAATTTTTATATAAATTTTAAAAATGAATAAAATTAATAAAGTTGCCACTGTCATTTTGTTATGCTTTATATGTATGTGTGCACACACACGCTTGCCTTTTCTTGGAGTATTTGCCGTGGGCCAGATAATGCTCTAGGAACACGGTGCAGATGAGATCAAGTTCAGTTCCATTCCATAAACACTTCTCTGAAATTCTGAAAAGTAAATTTTGAACACCTGCCATGGAAAATAGTAGGCCATAGCGTGGTTCAATTTTCAGGTAAGTGAGACGTCTGTCAAATCAACTGCAGTCCTCACTGGTAGCTCAGTTAGTTATGTGCCTGGGATTCCCAGTTGTCACATCTTATCTGTTGTCCTAGCGCTATGAAGGTAGCTGTTGTTATCTGAGGCTCAGAAGGGGCAAGTAGATTGCCTAAAATCTCACAGCAAGTTGATGGCAAAACTGGGATTTGAATCGGTCTCTCTGATTCTGAATCCATGCTCCAGACTGTGATCAACTGAAATATTTTCCCACATAACCTGATGTCTGCAGTGAACAAGTTCAAGCATCTATTCTTGGAGGTTGGGCAGGGGTGCGGTGGGGGCTGGGGAGCTAATATAAAGATCATTCTCAGGCCCTTGTAGAGGAGAGAAAGCTCTGTAAGCATGGGATATCTTTAGTTTCTCCTGGAGGGAGATTTTAACAGAGGGAGTGCCTACATTCACCAGGAAGAGTCCACACTCTGGTGGATTAGAATTCACTTGGCATCTGTTGAGAACCATTTACATTAGACCCTTAGAGCTTCAAAATGAATGAGTCACCAATGAGATGTGCTTCTGTTGCCCTTTGGATGGATGTGCAGTGCAAGTGTTCCAGTGCTTTGAGTTAAGACCCGAATTCGTATGATTAGGGAGACTGCATATTTACTTACCTATCTTTTTTTTAATTGATGTTTTAGACCATGGTAGCTTAATCTTCAGTATTGTTTCATAGATTCTCAAAATGAAATTTCATTTCTTTCATAAACTTGGAATATAGGTGCCTTGTAGACTAGCCTCTTCCAAATGTGTTCTGTGCAGCAGTTAAGATATCCACTAAGGTGTTTAGGTCACGAGCTGATTGTCTATAAATTTAGAGAATCCTGGATGTCATAACCTCCTTTTGGAGATTTACAGGGCACATCAGTGTGTTAGAGCCTAGGAGATGGTTTTGTATAGAAGAACCATGTATTACTGTGTTTAACTAGAGTTTCTACAGTTTTTTTGGAACAGGGATTCATTTTTCCAACTAATTTTTAGCTACGTGGAACACATTTTTGGAAACGGGGGACTCCAGGTTATTTTCCTTTGGTAGAAAATTGATACATCATGACCTTTAGGCTCGTTTTAGCTCTGGAATGCTGTGCCTTCACAGTTGCGATCAGCAGTTTTGTGTGAGTCACTTTGACTTAGAATTTACTGAGTTATAATTGTTAGATATATACACAAAGTCCTATTTTGCCTTTGAAATTCTATCCCAGATCTTAACATTTTGATTATGACTGTCTTCATTGAAATGTAGTTTGGAAAAGTATACCCCAGCATTACAAATACTTCCTAATAAATTGTGCCAGAAATAGTATGTATGCATATGTATATGCATATGTATGCATACATGGGTAGACACGTGTATGTGTGTGTGTACAACACATCCACGCCCACATCTCATATATGGACATGTTTAAAGTGCTCTATTGCATCGTACTTTATTAAGGAAGGAAGTCATTAATTTCCCTTGTCTTGCTGCAGTGAATATCCTTACACATAACATCTTTGTATGATTGAGTGGTTATATCTGTACAATAAGCTGCTAGGAATATAATTTCAGGTCAAAAGGTATCTACATCTGGGGGTGCCTGGGTGGCTCAGTTGGTTAAGCATCTGACTCAGTTTCTGCTCAAGTCATGATCTCATGGTTTGTGAGTTTAGACCCAGGTCTGGCTCTACACTGATAAGATGGAGCCTGCCTAGGATTCTCTGTCTCCCTCTCTGTGCCCTTGCCCTCTACTCTCTCTCTCTCAAAAATAAGTAAATTTAGGCTGATTCATAGGGGCACACCGTACCCCAATGTTTATAGCAGCGCTTTCAACAATAGCCAAATTATGGAAAAAGTAAATGTCCATCAACTGATGAATGGATCAGCTTATACACAACGGAATACTACATGGCAGTGAGAGGGAAATCCTGCCATTTGCAGCAATGTGGATGGAACTGGAGAGTATTATGCTAAGTGAAATGAGTCAGTCAGAGAAAGATACCATATGTTTTCACTCATATGTGGAACTTGAGAAACATGACTTGGGGGGAAGAGAAGGAGAAAAAAATAACCAGAGAGGAAGAGAGGCAAACCGTGAGACTCTTAAATATGGAAAACAAACTGAGGGTTGATGGGGGCAGGGCGGGAGAGGGGAAAATGGGTGATGGGCATTGAGGAGGGCACTTCTTGGGAGGAGCACTGCGTATCATATGTAAGCGATGAATCACGGGAATCTACCCCCAAAACCAAGAGCACACTGTGTACACTGTGTGTTAGCCAACTTGGCAGTAAATTATATTTTAAAAATAAATGAATTAGTTTTAAAACAGCGTGTGCATCTGAACTTTAATAGGTATTTATTGTCCAAAATATGGGACAAGCTAACCTACAGGCACTGTGTGACAGCTGGCCACTCCCATCACTGGCAATGTGAGTAGATGTTACTGAAACAAAATCTTAGCTGATAATGTTTTCCTAAATGGGAAATTCATTATCCCCAAAAGTACTACTGTTTCATGGATTATTTTGTATTTATTATTTATCCATTTCCTAGAATTGAATTGCAAAGTTACTTGGAGACTGGGAGGAAGTAGTCTTTATAAGTAGCACTTACCATCTGTGATTATTATATATGAAATTAGTGACAGTAACTTAAAGCTCAATTGTATTATTAAGCACGATCCACAAATTTGTTGTTTAGCAGTTCAAGCATTTATTTCGCTTGAAAAGATTTATCTCTGTGAAATTTTGCGTTCGTAGGTTCTGTCACCGAAATAAAAGGATGGTAGGACTTTATGGGAAAATTGCAGAGATGACAAACTAGAGCATGAAGAGATCTTTGAAATTTCCACCTCTTCTTATGAAATCTCAGTGTTCTCTGTCTTCTGTTGGACTGTTAAAAAGACTTCCCAGTCTGCCACGGACGGCTGTCAGTAACATAAGTGATGCATTCTTTTTGCCCCAGGGAGGAAGACAATGATCCTATAGTGCCGGTGGATGAGAAACGGAAACTTGAGCCACACCTTCAGTTTTCCTCAAAGCCTGCATTGTCTGTCTTCATCTAACCCAGCTCTGATGAACACCTGTGACAGTTGCCTGCACACGTGCTCTGATGAAATATTAGAAATGGCCGTACACTCAGAAGAAACGCAGTGTTATGTACCCAGTCACTGCTGCTAGGATTCATATTTTTGCACATACTGTTTATTGCTTATGTGTAGAAGAAATGAAACTAGTTTTCAGAGTTGTTATTAATATGCATATATATCATGTATTAATACCGAGACGGGAAAAATACATTCCCAGTGTTAGCCATCCTTCATTTCCTGTCTCCACGAGAAAATTCACTCATTCGGAGAATAATGCGATTCTTGATAATAAATAAGAGTTTTGATCAGGAACAGCACAGGGCTTGAAAATGGAATGTGAAGGATTAGTAAAAGTCATATCTCGTGTTGTTTTTCAGCCCTCATACCACAATTAATGTCAGGCTGGTTATTATGCAAAACAATTTGGGAGTTAATGCAAGAACAAAATCACTTTATATATTTCTCAAAGGATCAAATTGAATGTATGAATCTAATTGTATTTATTTGACATATTGGAAGCTCTCGTTTCTAGGAGTTTGAGAAAGGCATAAAAATAGGATAAAAATTAAGTGGGTACAGCATACCAGGAATAGCTTTATTTTCCATGATAGAAGCGTAAATTTAATAGTATTCTATAGTAATTTCGTGTTGTACATTTTGTAAGACCTTAAAATATTTTATTCTGTGGACTTTAGTATATTGAGCCGTTGCTTTCCAAGGTGATCAATAATATCTTTAATTAACTTTAAGTGCTACTGGTAAATGTAAGCATATGCTTAGATGCAGTTAGATGTGACAGAATGAGATAATTTGTGTAAAGCAGTAGAGTGCCTGGCACAAAGCAGTACTTAATAAATGTTATCTGTTGTTATAATTGCTGTTGTAAAACTAAAGATTTCATAGTCCCAATTTGGAGGGATTTTGTGATGCAAAAAGTTGGAAATCACATAGGTGCAATACGTGTGTGTTGTGAGATTTTAGGCGTGTTGGGTAGAGGCTGTCGTAGTGAAAACATGAAATACAAATAAAAGCCACACTGAGTATCCCTGAAAATGGCAGCAAAGAAGGACCGTGGTGGAGCCTCACACAGAGAGAGAAAGGACTGGCATGAAAGCAGAGTGAGGAGAAGTCCGGGCTTGCGAAGGGCCACGGTCTGTCCTTAGGACCACAGTAGGGCGGCCTCAGGCAGAGCCTCTGAGACATGGAGACAAGCCCTTGGAGTTTTCCTTTCTGCTGTTTCGGGTATGCAAAAATGGAGAAATGGTTACCAAACTTTATTTAAACACTTAATATCTCCTAGACTGAAACATGCCCCCCCCCCCCCCCACACACACTGAACATTGGCTGTAAGTATAGCCTCATCTGTCATCGACCTCCAGACAGGAGGTCATTGTCTTGTGGATGAGAAGCGAGTCAAAAGACACCCTGGCATGCTTTGGGTAGAGCCTGTGTTCAGGCCCTGGAACAAAAGAGTGTGCGGGCACCCAGCCTCTTTGCTCCTGACACAGCTGGTAAGTGAACATCCAGGGAATGTTCTGGGACTTAACATCTAGTGCTCCTTGCAGTCTCTAACCATCTCTCCATGAAAAATACAAAATGGGCGTAACAAAAATAATCCATATGTCCTTTAGGGTAATATCTAGTTGTCCATATTTCCCCCTCCAATTTTTTTTTAATTGAAGCAACCAAATTTACTCACCACATATATTTTGAGTCAAAAGACTTAAATGAACTACTCGATTCAGCTTGAGGTGTCCATTGGTAGGCTGTGCAGAGGCTCTCTAATCTTTGATATGGAAAACCCCTTCTTCATTTCACATTCAGGTACCTTAGACTCAGTATGAATGCGGGTGGTAGGGATGCTTATGCAAGAATGAATTTGAAAGGGCCATTTGTAAATCAACCAAAGTGCAAATAACTGATCTGGGATCTATCCTGTTTTGGTGGTGTCATGGGAAGGAAAAGTAAAAGGTATGTAATGGACCCTGAAATTGAGGAAGGAACTTCCCAAAGCAAAAGTGTGTGTGTGTGTGTGTGTGTGTGTAGGGGTGTAGTTAACAGGATAAATGACACATTTCATGGATCTTGAAATGTAATTTAGGGTGGATTTGTTTATCTAACAGGAAAAAAAGGCAACAAACAGGTGCTTTTGCACATAGTTTACACATCTGAAAGCACCACTGATTCATGGTAATTAATGTACCTGATGGTGTGTAAAGTAATATTGTCCTTAGAAGGTTTGTCAGTTAAGATAATTTGAGTATGTCTTTGTTGGTCATTCAAGCTAAAGACTTGCCAATATTGTTACTCTTTTCAGAGAACAAGTATTTGATTTTGTTGATTTTCTCTACTATGTTTCTATACTCTATTTCATGAAGTTCTTCTCTAATCTATTATTTCCTTCCTTCTGCCTGCTTTGGGTTTGGTTTGTGATTTTTGTAGTATTCTACGGTGGAAGATTAGATGATTGGTTTGAGACTTTTTTTTTTAAATAAAGCCATATACATTTATAAAATTTTCTCGGGGCGCCTGGGTGGCTTAGTCGGTTAAGCGTCTGACTTTCATTTAGGTCATGATCTCACGGTTCGTGGGTTCAAGCCCTGCGTCGGGCTCTGTGCTGACTGCCAGCTCAGAGCCTGGAGCCTGTTTCGGAGTCTGTGACTCTCTCTCTCTCTCTGACCCTCCCCTGCTCACACTGTCTCTCTCTCTCAACTAGAAATAAGTAAAAATATTAAAAAAATTTTTTTTCTCTAAGCACTGCTTTCTGCTGCATCTTACAAGGGTTTTTTTGCTATATTTTTGTTTTATTTCTAAATATTTTCTAATTTTCCTTGTGATTTCCTCTTTGACTTCATGATAATTTAGGTGTATGTTGGTTAATTCCCACATATTGATGAAGCTCCAGACTTCTGATACTGATTTTTAATTTCCCTCTATTGTGGTCAGAGAACTTATTCTGCATGTTTTCAACCCTTTTAAATCTGTTGAGGCTTGTTCTACAGCCTAGCGTATGGTTTATCCTGGAGTATCTATGTGCACTTGAGACGAATGCACTCTGCTCTTGATGTGTCCTGTAGATGTCTGTTAGGTCTAGTTGGCTTCTGGTGTTGTTTAAGTATTCTATTTTCTTGATCATTCCATTTCCGTTATTGAAAATGGGATATTGATGGCTCTAAATATTATTATTGAATTATCTATCTCTCTTTTCATTTTTGTCAGCTTTTTTGTTAGATATTTTGGGCTCTGTTGTTAGGTGCATATATGTTTATAATCTTCATGTCTTTCTGGAGGAGTTATACTTTTATCATTATTGTTATTACTTTTAAAGTTTATTTTAGAGAGAGATAGAGCATAAATGGTGGGGGCAGAGAAAGATGGAGAGCAAGAGAATCCCAAGCAGGCTCTGTGCTGTCAGCACAGAGCCCTATGTGGGGCTTGATCACACGAATTGTGAAATCATGACCTGAGGCAAAATCAAGAATCAGATGCTCAACCTATGGAGCCACCGAGGTGTCCCCCTTTTATTATCATAAAACGCCCTTCTTTATCTCTAGAAACATTTTTAGCTTTGAAAAAGTATCTTTTAAGATATTAGTATATCTATTTTCTTATAGTTGCTGTTTGCATGATCTGTATTTTCCATTCTTTTACTTTCAGTCTATTTGTAGTTTTGAATCTAAAGTGTGTCTCCTGTAGACAGCTTAAAGTTGGATCTTATTTTTTCATCCATTTGAGTGGGTTGTTTAACCCATTCACGTTTAGCGTTATTGTTGATATAGTTGGATTTATATCTGCCATTTTACTTTCTGTTTTCTACATGTCTCATGCCTTTTTTGTTGTTGTTCTCTATCCCTCTTTTATTGCTTTCTTTTGCATTAGGTGAATGTTTTCCACTGTACTATTTCAGTTGCTTTAATGATTTTTTTCTTTCACTTTCTCTGGACTTTATTTTCTTAATGGCTGCTTTAGAGCTTACTATATACATGTTAATTCATTAGAATGTACTTCAGATTTATATTAACTTGATTACAGTGAGACCAGCAATACAACCTTTGTATTTCTCTATTCTCTCTTTTTCTTTTTATGCCATTATTGTTAATAATATTATTATTGTGCTATTTTACATATATATGTATATAGACAAACCCAATAATATGTTATTATAATTATATTATGTAATTGTTTGCCTATTAGAAGCTAAGCAAACAAGGGACAAGTAGATTTTCTTATTTATAGAATTTCTTTTATTAGCCTTCTTATTTACCATTTTTGGTTCTTTGGTTCTTTTAATTTGGCTCTGTGGGTTCACATTTCAATCTGTGTCATTTTCATAGTCCATTTCCTCATTGTGTTCTCACCTACCTCCTTTATGTTGTTATTGTCAAGTATGTTACATTTCTATATGTTCTAAGCTTAATAGTATAATTATATAATATTGTTTTATACAATTGCTTTTTAAATAGGAGAAGGAAGAAATATGCACATATACTATACTGCCTTTTACAGTTACATAATTACTTTTACCAGTGCTGTTTAGTTTTTGGTGTGGATTCAAATTACTGTCTGGGATCACGTGGTTTCAGGCTGAAGAATTTCAGGTAAGGCAAGTCTGCTAGCAACAAATTCTTTTTGTTTATGTGGGAATGTCTTTATTTTACCTTTATTTTTGAAAGACAGTTTGCCGTATATAAGATTCTTGATTGACTTTTTAGCACTTGGAAAATGATATCTCACTGCTCTCTGGCCTCCATTGTTTCCATTGTTTCTCATGAGATTTCAGCCATTAAGTTTAATGGGGTTTTGTTCTGACAAGTCAATTTTATGTTGCTGCTATCAAATTATTGTCTTTTTTCCCTGCCCCTCCTGTCACCTGCCCTTTCCCATCTGTCATTACTACTATGATGTGTCTAGGTGTAGATCTTTTTGTGTTGAGCATATTTAGGCTCTGTTGTGCTTCTTAGATATGTAGGTTATATGTTTCATCAAATTTGGTATGTTTTTCATCATTGCTTTTCTAAACTTTTTTTTTCTGCTTCTCTCTCTTCTCTCCTTCTGGTATTCCCATTATCCATATGTTAGTGCACTTGAAAGTGTCCAGTATTTTTCTGAGTCTGTGCTCATTGTCTCCCCCTTTCCACCCCCTTCCATCTCTTATTTGTCTTGGTTGTTGTTTGCTTTGTTTGTTTAGTAATTTGGCTGGACTATTTTTTATCAAATCCATTACTCCATGTACTGCAGAGTCTGTGATGTGGCTCCTCAGAGACCTATAACTCCGGCATGTGCACAGTTATCCTGGGATGACAGTAATGTAACAGGACTCTCTTTAGCTGTCTCCTTGACCTCTCTGCTAAGCTCTTTGCCTTGCAAATACACCTAGCTGTTAGGATTACCAATGGGGATGGCTTCATTGTTTTGACAATGCCCTGAGGCATAAATTGCCCCAGGTTTAGTTAAATTTAGATCCCTTTGCAGGAGTGGTATGGAGGCCTGCTGTGAAATTTGTTTTCCTTTTAGGAGGATTCTTGGCTGTCTCTTTCCATGGTTCTTTCTGATAAACCAGCTAGTGATTTAACTTGTTACCCTCATACAGCTCATAGTCTCCTCTTAATTACTTGCCACCAAAATCTCCATTATTTTCCACAACACCCTTAGACTTGAACTCCCCCATACTTTGTTACTAATGAAATTAGTTTTTGGTTGTTTATTTTTTTTTTTAGAGAAAGCTTTGGTGCTTTTTGCTCTTATCCACCACCTCTTGCCCGGGGCACAATCTTTAAGTCACTGCTCTAGAGCTGTGGATGGGGTCAGTTATTTGTTTCTTGTGGAGGGACACTTCTGCTTTGAAACAGGGCTCTGGGTAGGGGTAGTAAC